AAGATATTTTTTTCCCAATATATTTGGCCGCAGGATATTTTTTTTTGCCTCTCATAATAACGGCTTACAGTAACTTTAGGCTTTCATATAGCTATCATCGGAGACGTAGCAGGGGTTTTCAGTCAGAGGAGGCCGAGAACTGAATCCCAAGAGGGGCCAAGGAATTTTCACTGTGCTTTATTTTATATATGGTTATGTCTTAATGTTCCCCACACTAAAGCGTGCAAGTTTACTTACAAAGAATGTATAACTGCACCAAAACCTAAAACATGCAGGGATAGAGTAGAGTACTCGAAAATGGGGGAGGGTACAGTATATGAATGACCTGTAACCTTGGGGGGTTCGGGGGCATGCTCCCCCGAGAAAATTTTAAAATTTGAACCTCGGAAATGCTATTTCCTGCGTTTTCAGCCATGGATAATTATCTTAAGCCCAGATTTTCTCAGGGGGGGGGGGCAACAATTTTGCCAGGGAACACCACTGGCTATCGTATGTCAGAGGCTCCAAAGGCGGTAGAATCCCTGTGATGTTATCCACTGTTCACCCCGTGTTCTTTTAAGCAAATGTGCCTGCTCAAAAATGCAAAATCTTGCAAGCCTGTGGACACAATACTGAAGTGAAGAGCATCAGTAGAGTTACATGTAGAAAATTGTTTTTTGAGCGCTCTCTTTTGCATGATATTTTTTTTTCTCGATTGTGTGCTGCATGATTTTTTTTTCTTTCTCCTTGGGTTGCAGGAAATTCTTTTTCGAAATCTTCCACCCCCCCCCCTCAAAAGTCAAATGGTCCGCCCCTAACTAAAAACACCCTGGAAAAGTGAATAGAAAAGTGGATATTGAACATTTGAACTGGACCTTCGGTGGTCCCAGGTCTCCGGCGCGCGTTGACTCTAGTACACGCGGTCACCTGCCTCATATAGCTTTGGCACCATCTAAAATCTCTTCATTTTACAGATAAAACACTAAATATATACTTTTAAAGTTTATATATTTGCCGATTGAGAACGTATCGAAAAAAAATAAATTTTAATCTATATATAGTCATACTCATAGTAAACTTTTTCTGCAGTACTTTTACTTGGAACGAAGTCGTTTTAAGAAGTAACGTTTTACTACGTTATTTGCATTTTGTGGCGAAGTATTTCGTTACTTTCTAACTTTTGTTTAATTTTACGTAATTTATTCCCAATTTATTCTAAGTTTGGGATGGGTAATACGACCTCTACATGCGTTTGGGATCTCTCGTTTGTGGCTTACTTATAAGCATTATTTATTTAATGGATTTCTTATATCTTCAGCGGGGTCTGGAAAGCAGACCATGCTGTGAAATATTGTATATTTATAATGCGTGTGCTGTTTTGTATATTTTGTATCTCAATCCATGAATGGAGAAGTCCCCTACACTCTACAGACAATTGTACTTCACTTTTACTTTGTACTTCAATATGATTATTGATATGATTCGATATGATTAATGTCTGTGATTGTTGGTATCCGATTAAATATATCCTCCTTTCATGCATACATGCAGTGTCGGTATCATTGAATGGCATCCTTAATTTCAGCGCTAGTCAAAAGAGTGAAACGAGAGATTGTAGTCTGCCAATCTATAGATAATTCCAGAAGCCAGAACACCTTTTTATAATCATTTGATCATTCATGCATGTGAACTATTAAACAATGTAATAAAACTGGCACAATTTGATCATATACTTTGCATGTAACTTTAAAGTGGCACTCGCGTCAAAATTTTTATTTTCTTAAACGAAAATGCTCTTAAAACTGTATATAGTAACTTGTTTTGAAGATTTTTGTTCCCATCAATCCCCGATGCTTAGCTCTTGAACAATATTCGGTGACGAAACCAAATCTAAAGACTAAACGAAGAAAACTAGCAAATAAAACATAGCTCAAAAAACCTTTATTAAGGGACCGGTCATAAAGTATTTACTAGGGGGTGTGGAGGATATTTTTGGGGGGTACGAAAAAAATCCAGAACCTCTTAAGGGGGTACGAGAAAAACAACAGAACCTCTAGGGGGCTACCAAAATCTTAGTACTATATAGGTACGGGAAAAAATTACATTTTATAATTAGTGTTGAATATTGAATGTATTTGTGCCCAGATTGTTAAATATGATAACGAGTGTCAGTATTGTAGCAGCCATGCTTTTGTTTTTCTAAAGCTTTTAATGTATCCTATAATGTACTCTGAGAGCAGTTAATAACTTAAACATTTATAGTGATTAGGGTAAATAAACATAGTACTATAGGTACAGCAATTTTAAAGAGTCTCTCTATACATTCATCGTTATTATAGTTCTTTTTTACTATAATTATTATTAAATCAACACAAAGTATATGTTTCAGTCTGACTCAATGTCAGATGATAAGTAGGATTCAATATCCGTGGAACTTTTGGAGTACAAATCTGATACATCTGAATTGTCAATGCTATAGCAAGCTCACACCATTAGAAGCTGATGAGAAAGTGTCACATTGAATGGAAGCACATTTTTTCTGTTTGAAGTAAACCAAAAACAAATTTTTATGTTAAACTTTGTTCTTACCCTCAGTCCATTGCTACTATGTCAGAATCAGAAACAGAAAAGCCTGTGGTGATGAATCGGAGACTGCGGAAAATGTTGAGGATATCGGTTATCACAAACTGGCGAGTTTCGAAATATAGATAAACGCAAGACAAATGTTAAAACAGAATTAATGATAGAAGGGGGAGGGGGGTATGGAAATTTTCACTTACACTGAAGGGGGTTACGAAAATTTCTCCATAGGTTTTTGGGAGGGTATGGAAATATGTACTTGAAATTTCATTTATCCTCCACCCCCCTCTAGTAATTACTTTATGACCGGTCCCTAATCCATATAATAAACGGTTTATTAAATTAACCTCGTTTTGCTCGGTCTGCATGTACGGGAAAGTATTTGCCTTCGGTTTATCCGCACAGACCTCGCTCCTTCGTCGCTCGGTCTGTACGAAAACCTCAGCCAAATACTTTCCCGTACAGACCGAGCAAAACGAGGTTAATAACCCTTTAATACTGTGTTGTTTTAAACAAATCCATCAAAAATAGCAAAGATACACAACAATTACTGATATATCATTATATATGTAATTGAGTAAATGACGTCACATGGTTACAAACAAAACGAAATATCTCAAGAACTAAGGGGCGGACCATTTGACTTTTGAGAGGGGGGGGGGGTGGAAGATTTCGAAAAAAAATTTCCTGCAACCCAAGGAGAAAGAAAAAAATATCATGCAGCACACAATCGAGAAAAAAAAAAATCATGCAAAAGAGAGCGCTCAAAAAAAAATTTTCTACATGTAACTCTACTGATGCCTTCACTTCAGTATTGTGTCCACAGGCTTGCAAGATTTTGCATTTTTGAGCAGGCACATTTGCTTAAAAGAACACGGGGTGAACAGTGGATAACATCACAGGATTCTACCGCCTTTGGAGCCTCTGACATACGATAGCCAGTGGTGTTCCCTGGCAAAATTGTTGCCCCCCCCCCCTGAGAAAATCTGGGCTTAAGATAATTATCCATGGCTGAAAACGCAGGAAATAGCATTTCCGAGGTTCAAATTTTAAAATTTTCTCGGGGGAGCATGCCCCCGAACCCCCCAAGGTTACAGGTCATTCATATACTGTACCCTCCCCCATTTTCGAGTACTCTACTATATCCCTGCATGTTTTAGGTTTTGGTGCAGTTATACATTCTTTGTAAGTAAACTTGTACGCTTTAGTGTGGGGAACATTAAGACATAACCATATATAAAATAAAGCACAGTGAAAATTCCTTGGCCCCTCTTGGGATTCAGTTCTCGGCCTCCTCTGACTGAAAACCCCTGCTACGTCTCCGATGATAGCTATATGAAAGCCTAAAGTTACTGTAAGCCGTTATTATAAGAGGCAAAAAAAATATCCTGCGGCCAAATATATTGGGAAAAAAATATCTTGCGCTGCACTTTTACAGGAAAAAAATATCTGTCTCGTTCGCCTGGGCGGAAAAAAAATTCTTGCACAGACTGAATCTTCCACCCCCCCCCTCAAAAATCAAATGGTCCGCCCCTTAGTGGAAACGTTATCCAATAAGAAGCGCGTATTTGAGAGTTAATCACTATTTAACTACAAAATGGTGATTAAAAAAATGATTAAGAGTTTTATACAACTGGCCCCTGATTAATATATCGCCAAAGTATTTCGCCTGCGTTGCAGGCTACCAAGTACTGTGCGTCATACCGCTAGCGCGTTTTGCTGTCGTCATGCTCTAGCGCATTTACTTTTAAAGTTTGCGGCGTGGTTCGAATTTATGCGTTTTTAAACTACAACTTGACTGGTTTATATTGAATATTCTGTCATGGAAGAGTTTGAGGGGAAAAACATGGAGTTTGTTTTGTTTTGTTTGCCGATTGGTCAAAACTGTATCACGTGCCGGTCCACAAAACGTGTTCACTGCGTGCTTTGCCGAGGAGGCAACCGGTCCACAATGAAACATTTATTGACCGGTCAATAATAAAATGCGTGCAATACGCATGCGCGTCAACCATGAAGTTCCAAAGTTCGTTTTTTAAAACTTTTATTAAACATTTACGGCGTTCCATTTATCCAGTTTTGGTTTCAAATTAAGTTCACTCCAATAACCGGTGAAGTATTCATACTTTGACACTTATATCCTATATAACAAAACACTTATTTACTGAGACCTCGGGAAAGCAGTGTGGTTTGTGGACCCGAGACCGCCGTCGTTGCCCTCGGCGAACAACGGCGGTCTCGGGTCCAAAAAACACACTGTTTCCCTCGGTCTCAGTAAATAAGTGATAATTATTACACTTTGCATGAGAAAACATTATTTATTGCCCCTTATTAAGGCATTTTCTTATTGTTTACTATTATATAATGTGCATGCAAGTCTTCATTCCCAACTAGCATTTGTATAGTTGCCAAGTGATGACATATTAAAATAAATACAATAAGGCGCTGTTACACACTTACACTAAGCAACTTGTCTCGGAACTTGTCTCGCAATGTTAAGAAAAACGATTTCAGCATTGTATTGCAAGGGATGTTACACCAAGCAATATGCTCCATGCAACTTGCAATGATCATTATTAAAAATAGTACATAAAAACCGCGAGTGCCAACGTTTGGCGCCAGATTGACACTCAAAAGCCAATAGGAAGCATTCAGTGTATAAACACAGTGCAATACTTTAAAAATGCGTCGCAGCGTTGCCGCAATCGTTGCAAAAAGTAGAACCTGATTCTACTTCGTGAAATGGTTGTTGCAACAAAAATATTACGAGACTTGTTCATTGCGAGGCATGATACACCTCGTGTAGTGTAACAGCGCCTTTGGCTACTGTATGAAGATGAAAAGGAGTAAATGTCTAACGTTTCTGACAGCCAACAGTTTTCAAATGTCAACAGCATGCGAGAAACTGTCTGTACATTGCACCCTATTAAACACTATTTTAAGAGTCTACTAGGAGGTCAGGAGAATGTGGTAACATCATTAAAACGATCAGGAATAAGGAAGGAACTGGTACAGTTTTGTTCACTCAGGCATCACATTTTTTAACATGATTTTTCCTCTGTGGTGAAAGGAGTAAAATGAAGGCCTGTTACTTGCAGTTTCCCAACTTCTAAAAAAAACACAAAGTAATAGAGAACAAGCAATTAGTTACAGGAGAGCTTGAAATAGCTTTTGGGCTTTTCCCAAACAAATTGCAATTTTTCCAAACAAATTCTAACAGATGTTTTGTCCACATGCCAAAACAGAACAATATTTTTCTTCAAAAATTTTCTTAAAGTGCAAAACTCTCTGTCTTGACAAGTAAAATCGTCTGACAGTAAAATAATAAATGGCCTTTTAAACAAACATTGCATGTGAGCATATCACAAAGAAACATGCGTGTGCCGATACAAATTATTGGTCAACTTCCTCCCTCAATTAGAAAATGTGCCTCAAACTTAATTATTCCACCGCATATATGACAAACATGCATACACAAATAGATCGTGCAAAAGACTGGTCAAGTGGACTCTGGAGAAACCACTGAATTCTGCAGGGATACTCTATAAACTGCAGTCAACACACAGCACAGTATAGTACTTGTATGTACCAACATGAGCTCCACCTTTGAATTTACTATATGAGTAAATTCTTAAACACGTTTTCAGTAAATTCTTAAATCAAGTTTTTTAAAAAAATAGTTTTTAAAAAAGTTTTAGAAGAGTTTTAAAAAGCAAAAAAAGTTTAAAAAGTTAGATTTTTAAAAAAGTTAAAAAAGTTAAAAAAATTTAAAAAGTTAAAAAAGTTAGGGTTAGGGGTTAGTGGTTAGTGGTTAGTGGTTAGGGTTGGGGTCAGGGTTAGTGTTAGGTGCTGTGAATTTATTATTATGATAAATTCAAAATTTGCCGCGAATTTATCATAATGATAAATTTGGACGTGTTTAAGAATTTACTCATATAGTAAATTCAAAGGTGGAGCTCATGCTGGTATGTACAGTATACTAATTAATTTGTTCTTTCACTTACTTGTTTGCTAATTCAGCTGATGCTTTGATTTCCCTAAAATTTCCTGCCATCTGAACAGCACCAACTGATCCTAATACTAAGCCAAAAATACACTGAAGCACAATCTAAAAATATGTGAAGAATAATGGCTAATTGTTACGCACTCAGTATAAAATTAATATATAGATTGTTACAGCCATGAACCAATTAAGTGGAAATGCCTGTTATAAACCCTACTTTATTGTTCATCTCTGTATAGTTGCAGACAATGTTACCTGTCAAGGGGAAAGTTTTGGAGTTAACTAGATTTACCCATTAATTTAATAAAGCACAAGACTTCTCCCTTGACAAGTAAAATCATCTGGTGTTAGCCAGGGTAAAATAACAAAGTAAGGTGCATTTGTTCACATTGCAGCTTAATGGGTTAATCAGACCTTCTGTGGGATATACATACAGTAAACTGAACACATAGTAAACATGTAGCTGCTATTCAAGTGATTCATTTTGGACATCAAGAAAACCACAAGGTCTTTCCATCAAATTTTCCTTTGACCATGGATAATTAAAAAAATCTGGATAGGCTTGGACTGAATAAAATTGTCTGGCATTAGACAGAGTAAAATAATATTAATTTAAAGCTTTATCATACACATTTGGATCAAATTGGCAGTTACAATATTTTCCCCACTGGATTGGATTATGATTTTTAGTATCAGATCTGGTCGGATTTAGTATCTTCTCAGATTGAATTGGATTATTTTTCCAGGTTCAGATTCAGAACATGAACAAAACTAATTTGGATTCAAAGAAGCCAACTGATCTGAACAGTGGTTCAATCACTCCAATGTACCAAGGCATTTTTTAATACCATGGACTGGTGGAGCATTTGCCCCACTGAGCCCCTTCCTCTGCCCCACCACTGAAGAAAAATAATGGCCAATTGCCCCAAAGCCAGGGCCCTAGGACCTGTATTGAGTAAATGAGTTTAACATGAACAAGAAGTTTAATTAAAAAACAATATTTGTTGGTGAGCATACTTAAACTTATGTTGTGTTTGAATGTTTAGCATGCAATTTATTACAAATTTCACCATTAAAACATTTTTTTGAGAACCCGAGATTTTTTTTTAATGTGTTCTCAGAATGCAGGAAATGCAATTTGTGAGACCTAAATTTTAAAAATTTTCTGGAAAATTCCCAGACCCCCTAGTTAACTCTTGCCTGGGGTGTTGTGGGGGGAGGGCAAGGAAAATGGGCCCTTTCGCAGTTTGGCCCCGCCACTGGAGAATTCTTAAAAAATGCACTGAACGTACACCTCAAATGCAGATCAGATGTACTTTAATTCAGACATTCCAACTCTCCCGATTTTACAGGGAGTCTCCCGAAATTTAAACAATCTCCTGGTCTCCCGATTTTTATCAAATTCTCCCGATTTTTCAAAATATTCAGGAAATATCGTAAAAAAAATCATAGATATACTGTTTTTAGCAACATAATAGTCTGTCTTGACCTTTTTATGAAGTTACTTTATGGCAATTTACAGGTTCACTTATAACAACATCTTCCCAAAATGCAGGAAATGCCATTTCAGAAGACTTCATTTTTATTATTTTTCCCCAGAAGAACTAGATTTCAATTCACTGAACAGTCTCCCTAATTTTTACCTCCAGTGGTTGGAATGTCCGTTAATTATATACTTTATGGTTTGGGGGGTGTGTGGTGAAATCATAGGGGAGGGGGAGTTTGGTGGGGGTTTTTGTGGGGGGTCACCAGAGTTTGAGGAGTAATTGAGGGGGGGGGAGGTGATAAAAGTTGTAGCTCTGGCAATGGTTTGACCTTTTTAAAATATGTTATTATAGGTACACTGCCTCGTACCCAGGCGTCTCTTTGTAAAAAAACAGTGATGCGCATAGGACGAGTTTACATGAAGTATTGTAGTGGGGATAGATGGGCAAAGGGGCTGATGGGAAGAGTGCACTTGAAATGCGAGACGTCTGGCAGTTCTTGGTCGATTTCTTGCAAGAAAGTCAATTTCTTGCAAGTTGTGATATTTTGTTGTCGTTTACGATTTTTTGCTACTTGTTTTTGTTGAATTGACTAATGCTAATATTCTTCTGTCATCTGGGCGTGAATTCATGCTGTTATTCTTGGTATATATGACATATGCCTTATTGAAAGTCCATGGAAATTCCAATATTAACATGTCAACAACCGAAGCGTTGAAGAACTAGACTTGCAGGAACTAGATTTGTAAGCTATTACTATATAAAGGTACAAACTATAAAATTGCACTGTTGTAATAAATATTTCAAACTTTACGGCTGTGAATTTTATTTACTTGGGCTTTTGTTTACAGTATACATTTAATATAAAGAAGTTATTAATACAAAAGCAATTATATGACTTTCTAATCATCTCTCTGTCACTATTTTATACTAAGCAACTGATAGCATTCTATTATTCTCCATGTAATACTGAATGACATATTCGAAATTATATTCGCACGATAAACTTGCCATGTAATTTACTCATAATTTTTCACACATTTTGCATGTCATCAAACATCTACAAATTTATTATTATTTGCCAATGGCGTTCAATTCGACTCTTTGTCAAAAAATAAGGTTTTACACACAGAGTATATGACGATATGGTAACGTTTTGTATTAAATTCCATGTTTTCCCGCCATGACAATATATAAGAACTGCCAGGCGCTCCCCAGCACACACCCTTCCCAACAGCCCCTTCGCGCATCGCCTACCTACCTGAATACTTCATGTATTGTAATTATTTAAAGCGCCTGGGTACAAGGCAGTATAGAACATGAAAATTTTGAATCATTCAATGGCTACACGTTTACAGAAGCTTTTGCACTATTACTAATGTCACAAAATAAAGACATTTTAATTGTTTAACTGATATTATACATACCATATTTATACACCTGTACTGTATTTTATATAAAATGGGGGGGGGGTCACAAATGTTTTTGGTCTTTTCCCAGGGTACATTCCATGCAAAGTCTACGCCGAAGATACGCCAATATTAACTATAGATACTGTAGTATTGTAATTTGCCAAACTCACGCCGAAGATCTTTGGCATAGGCCACTTATGTAGAATGCACCCTGGGTCTTTTCTTGCAGGGGGGGGGG